TTCCCTTGGAATACTATTTCCCAACTTTTACTCTAAGGTGATACAATTTAATTGAGGGAGCTTGCCAACAGTTTCAGACATTCAGTCCGTTATCATCAAAGTAGGGATGCTTGGCTGAGGCATGCAGGCCGATGTGGTGCTGGAGCTGAAAGTCCTATGTCTTTCAGGCAACAGAATGTCAACTGACAAGCTCGGCAGTATCCTGAGCATAGGAAACCTCAAAGCCCATCCCCACAGAGACACACTTCCTCCAACAAAGCCACACCTCCTGATAGTGCCATTCCCTATGAGATTACAGGGGGCCAATTGCATTCAAACTATCACAGATGGATAGCTCTTTCTTTAGAAGGTTTGAGGATTTTTCTTCTATGATTTTATTGAGAATATTCTGTATACCTTTTATATTTGGTTTTTTTTTTACCACATCCCAAACTTCTCCATGTTCTGTTCACATTTCTTTGTAAATTTATCATTTGGATCACTTGGTGAAGGTCAATGCTTGGAGGCCAAGTGATCTAATTCCTCTATTTTGTTTTCCACCCCTGACACTGTTTCCACATGATCTATTGTATATAAAGCTGCCCAATGAGGCCTGTTTTGTTTTGTTGAGTTTTTTCATTTCCAGCATCACTTCAGTCCGTCTTTACTCCAGCAATTCTATCTCTTTATTGAACTCTATTTTTGTATCTTTGGCTGTTTTGTTTTGTTTTGTTTTATTTCGTTTATTTTTTCAAGGCAAGGTTTCTCTGTCCTGGAACTTACTTTATACACCAGGCTGACCTCAAACTCAGAGATCTGTCTGTCTCCCCTCCTGACTGCTGGGATTAAAGCCACTGCTATTTATGGATCTTGAATGGACCACCTTATTTCATTCAGCTTGAGTCTTGCTCTCTGGTGTATACTCATATCCTCTTTGAGTTGTTTGAGCACAGTTGTAATCATTCTTTTTTATTCTTCAGAAGTTCCCGCAGGCCGCAGGCCATTTTCATTGGGTGTATTACTATGGAATTAGTAATTTAGGGGAGGGACATGTTACCATGGTTTTCCATGTTGCTGGTGACTTGCACATCTGGGGCCACTTTTGTTGGTTGAGTCCTTTTGTTCAAATAACTGTTGTTGTTTTTAAGATTTTAAAAACTTGGATCATTTGCATGTGCTATCAGAGTTCAGAGAGGGTGTCAGATCCCCTGCAGCTGGAGTTACAGGCTGTTGTGAACCACCCAACATGGTGCTGGCAACCCAAATCAAGTCGTCTGCAAGAGCAGTGCATGGTGTTAACAGATGAGCCACTCTCCAGCACCTCGCAGTCCCTCCTTTCAACGGGGCTGTACACAATGTTCAGGAGAGGACCAAGTGGTTGGGTGGCCGAGATGGTATTTTCTTCTGTGTGACCCGTGACTAAGGGTTGCAAGTTCATCTTTTGAGAGTCCACTGCCTGCCCTAAAGATCACTTTCCAAGGTCAGCACCAACCTGGTTCTCTCATCCACTGGACTGTGGCATGACTTCTTCAGTCAGCTCTGCCATGATCCTTGGTCCATCTGCCTCTTAGATCTGTTGTAGAACTCCAGAAGCCTAAGCATATTACCTACTTCCTGAGTCTAAGGCTTTCCCTGAATTTTAAAAATCCAGCCTGTGTGCACCTTGAAGCCCAGCCCTGGGTTCATTACTTTGTCCACCCAGAATGTACCCCTGCCCCAGCTCTGACCTTCTCCCAAACGCTATAGTAGTAGCTTTCTGCGCTTTAATATACCTTTAAACTTAAGTTTCTGTTACACTCTCTAAAATCCATTTGTTTTCTTGGGCCAAACTGTTTTAGTTTATCAGACCAACACTAGTCCTTAGAGCAGAATTCGGATCAACAGACTGTTGAAAAATGAAACACGGGGCTGTAGAAAACTCTGAAAGCTGTTAGGAGTCATTTCCTCAGGGCTGGAGAGATGGCTCAGAGGTTAAGAGAACTGACTGCTCTTCCAGAGGCCCTGAGTTCACATGGTAACCACATGGTGGCTCACAGTTATGAGATCTGGTGCCCTCTTCTGGTGTGCAGATATACATGGAAGCAGAATGTTGTATACACAATAAATAAATAAAATCTTTTTTAAAAGTCATCTCCTCAAGTTTTGTGCTAGAAGCTGTCTCCTGACCTGGCTGATAACTCTTGGGAGTCAACAAAATATCTGGCCCTCAGGCTTCTGGGAAGTTGAATCTCTGTTTTGAGGATGTGACTTTACACTGCCCTGAATTTTGAATTATTAGCAAAGAGAAAGCATTGGACAGAGGTAGTGGCTTGATGCTTCTTTGGACTCCAATCCTCCTTTTTCGGTGGGTGGGTAGGAGACTTTTGTTTGTTTTGTTTTTGTCTTTGTAGCCTTGAAGCCTGTCCTGGCACTCGCTCTGTACACCAGGCTGGCCTTGAACTCACAGAGATCCTCCTACCTCTGCCTCCCAAGTGCTGGGATTAAAGGCATGTGCCATCACCACCTGACTGGGGGGGGGGGGGGGGCGTCTTAAGCCACCACAGAAAAGCATATTTTCCTTTCCGTAAGCAGACTTCTCATAAAGTTCCTGGAAACAAGCACACGGGACGCATGTTGAAGCAGGCCTGGGAGGGGCCACAGACAGACACCGGGGCATCACTGCTTCCATTTACTTTCTCAGTCTGTTGCTGTCAGGCCGGGTTAGGTCCTGAGGTCCCTAAATCATCAGCAGGTAATGTTCTTGATCCCTCCCAGCACCCACATGGCTGGGCAGAACCATCTGTAACTCCAGTTCCCAGGGGGCTGACGTCCTCTTCTGGCCCTCCCTAGACACTGCATACATGAGGTGTACGGACTTGCACGCACTCAAAACATCCACACATGTAAAACAAAAACAATTTAATATTTTTTATTTTATTAATTTTTGTTTCTGTTTTTCTTTTTCTTCTTAAAGACTTACTTATTATGTGTACAGGGTTCTGTCTGCATGTTGCCTGCAGGCCAGAAAAGGGCACCAGATCTCATTACAGATGGCTGTGAGCCACCATGTGGTTGCTGGGAATTGAACTCAGGACCTTTGGAAGAACAAGCAGTGCTCTTAACCACTGAGCCATCTCTCCAGCCCCAAAATTTAAATTTTTGTAATAAAATTTTAATATAGAAGGGTGGAAGGACATCTTGGTAACTAATCACTAGTGCGTTCCAAACTGAATTTTCTTATTGTTGCCTCTGCAAAACTGCACTTCTCCATCTGCATTCCCTTAACTACAGACAGCAAGTTTCCCACTGTCCTACAAAGGTGGGTACAGCTTTCTAACTTTTTCTAACCCTATATAATGTCAGTTATCATGTAGCCAGGTCTTTGTTTATTATTCTTATATGTGTGTGGGTGTTTTATTTTATTTTTTATTTTTTAAAATAGATTTTATTTATTTATTATGTATACAGTCTTGTGCCTGCATGCCAGCAGAGGGCACCAGATCTTACTCAAGGTGGTTGTGAGCCACCATGTGGTTGCTGGGAATTAAACTCAGGTCCTCTGGAAGAACACCCAGTGCTCTTAACCGCTGAACCATCTCTCCAGCCCGGGTATTTTATTTTTATTTTTAGAGAGGGTCTCACTATGCAGCTCTAGTGTTCCAGAAACTATTGTAGACCAGGCTGGCTTTGAACTCAGAGACCTGCCTGTTCTGGAGTGCTGGAATGAAAAGTGTGCCACCATGACCAGCTAAAAAGCTGAAATTTACACTCAGCTCTAACTGGAATTTTCCCACTAGATCTGTCAGTTAATTTGGTCAGATAATAAAGACAGTGCAGAGACAACTGATTTCACTTACTGGATTCATTAGGAATTCCTCCATCTGGGAAACCTGCATTGATGGAACTCTGAGAATGCCGTATTTATGCTACCAAGAGTTGGATCTGCTCAGTCACACTGACAGCCACTTAGAATTAGATTTCTGGTTCCTTGTCAAAGATTCCATACACGAAGTGGTCCAGAATTGTGGTGACCCCTCAGCTGAAACATACACTCAATTTGCTCATTGTAGTCAATGAATATTTAAGACAAACACATGCTGCTTTTGACTGGTTAATTTTAACAGTGTGTTCTCACTCAAATGGATTATCTTGTAGAGTTAGGGATGGAAGAGAGGAATAGAGTGAAAATATTTAAGACTATAAAAATGGCTTTGGAAATAAATTGTATTGGATTCTTGGCAGACTTTCTTTCCTTCAGGCTTTCACTATGACCTCACACCCTATAGTTACACTAAATATGCAGTTGGATTATATTCCCCAAGTGTGTGTTCAAATATTCAACTGGTTTCATTAAACAAGTGCAAATGACTTTACCCTTTCTGTTGGGACTTCACAGTCCTAGATGTTAATGAGACCTGGCAGCTCTTCTCTCCTGTCACATCCATTATCCTCCAGCCGTCTTGGGCCAGATCCCGGGGCAATCCCTGACTATGTTGGTAGAGAAAAGCAACCACTGTTATTTTTTAACCCATGTCCCTTCTCCTGATTCTGATAACCATATGACATTTCCAAGTGGGGATCTCATTATGGCATGGTCCCTGTTGCTCTCCACAGCTTTCCAGGTGTTATCTTTCAAGCATAAGTGTACAGAATCCTGACAGCAAGGATTCCTTACACCTCCAGGAAAGATACTGTGTTCAAACAATTTTCAATCGCTCACCCTATTTAAAGATACCAAGTAAAGCTAATGTTCTTATTAGAATTCTTTGGATGCATCTAGAAATAACGAAAACATTTAAGTAAAATGGGAGTTTTACTAAGAGAGTCTCAGGATGCTTCATGTAGCTAAGACAAGGTAAATTAGAATAGAAGCAAATGTGGACTATCACATGCTGTTTAGAATGTTGAGAGAGCAGTATACCTACTTGTATGAAAAAACATTCAAGATCCAAGCCACAGAACACTACTTTTGTAATGACTCAGTTGGCTTAAGAAACACTCCATGCATCTTTCTTTCTGTGTCGATAGTTGCTTCTGACCACATGGTGAATGTTCCTAAGACCCCCTGGACGTTCTGCAAGACACGTGGCAAGCACCAGCCCCATAAAGTGACACAGTACAAGAAGGGCAAGGACTCTTTGTATGTCCAGGGAAAGTGGTATTATGACAGGAAACAGAGTGGGTGTGGTGGGCAGACTAAGCCTATTTTCCAAAAAAAAAAAAAAAAGGCTAAAAGTACAAAGAAGATTGTGCTGAGGCTTGAGTGTGTTGAGCCCAACTGCAGATCTAAGAGGATGCTGGCTATTAAGAGAGGCAAGCATTCTGAACTGGGAAGCGATAAGAAGAGAAAGGGTCAAGTGATCCAGTTCTAAGCTGCTCTTGTTATGAAGACAATAAAATCACAATAAGAGAAAAAACAAAAGAAGAAACACTCCATGCAGGTGTGGAGGTGCACTTCTGCAACCCAGCTCTCAGGAGATGGAAGCAGAAAGGTAAGAAGTTCAAGTGCATCCTCAACTATACAGTGAATTTGAGGCCAGCCTTGGCTACATTCGACCCTGCCTCAAAAACACCCCCACATAGAACAAAGAAGTACTAATAAGTGCTGCACTCTAGTGCTGCACATGGAACTCCAGCACCTGAGAGGTGGAACCAGTTAGACCAAGAGTTCAAAGCCAGCCTCTGCTATGTAGTGAGTTCAAAACCACCCTAGAATGCATAAGTCAGGGGCAGGTAGATCTGAGAGTTAGAGGTATAGGCCAGTCTGGTCTACAAAGGTAGTTCCAGGCCAGCCAGGGCTATATAGTGAGACACACGCAGAGGAAATGCTGTCCATGGAACATGATAAACCTTGAGGATATGCTGTCAGATAAGCCAGATGCAAAAGGATGACTATCATGTGATCCCATTTGCATTACCTCAAGAGCGGAGTGAAATGGCTGCCAAGGCTGGGGTAGTGGTAAATAAATTGATAGGCAATGAATGGATATACATTTCAGTTTCTCAGGCTAAGTCTTAGAAATCTGCTACATGCATATACAAAAGACCCATGAAGACCTCATGTTGTCCTGACAGCAAGTTAATTAAAAATTTTAGGGCTTGCGGGGAGGAGAGCTGGAGAGATGGCTCAGAGGTTAAGAGCACTGGCTCTGGTGACCTCTCCTGGTGTGCAGGCAGAACACTTAAAAAAAAAAAAAGCACAACTTTTTTTTTAGCTGGGTGGTGGCAGTGCACACCTTTAATTCCATGACACAAATATGTAAAAACAAATTAATACTGGTAAGACAAGAATATAGTCAGTACTTCTGTTTCAGGAATCTACTGTTCTTGGGACATTAAGCTCCTTAGAAAATGGATTACACAACCCATTCTATATGTGATGTGTCTACAAAGATATAGGATTCCATCATTCCTCTAATATTTTTAGGTCAGGAGTCATGCTGGAAGACACCCTATAAAATAAACATAACTACACTTTTCATCACTTGCTATTAAGAAGCAAATTCTACCTGGTGGATCACTCTACATTATAAAGGTACCACAACCTACCCAGAAACGCTGCTTCAACATTTCTTTATATTCAATGATTGAGAGACATTGCTAAATTTGAGTTAGCCTTACAAACTGAACTGTACACAGCAAACCCTAAAAAGTACGAGAAGTGACACAGGGGTCTCAGAGAGCCATGAAATCATGAAGGACTTCCCTATGTGCGGTGTTGAGTCAAACATAGTCGCCATGGGATGTAACTAGAACATCTGGGCTTATAACCTCTAGCACTCCCGACCCTTTGCACAGGTCAGATAAGGATTCCTATAGCACACTCATCAGGCCACTTCTGCCCAAGCAGTACTAGAGCATATAATTGGTAACCTGCTCAGATTGGCGGGCTCACCTGCACACGAAGGACTTCTCTCTGCTCTCCAAAAGCATTCCTATAATACAAATAAATAAAAGACCCAGAGACTTTTATATCAGGGTTCAACCTGAAGATCAGGGAAGCAAAGCAGCCAGCCACTAGCTCTCAACTCTAGCTCAGGCTGAAAGGGCTGACCCATGCATGAGCAATTCACCAAGTATCAAACTGCTGCCTCTCCTCAGTGTGGCTGGGGAATGAATGCCTCTTACTGAATCCTGATACTGACTTATATACCTCTCATGGGTCCTGGGATTAACGATGTGTTATAATTCTCTTTTTGACTGATTCACACTATTGTGTTGATCTGGGTGGCCTTGGACTCACAGAGATCCATCCAACTCTTAATCCTGAGTCCTCGGATTAAAGGTGTGTGCCACCACCTCCTAGCTTCTGGCTGCTGGGATTAAAGGTGTGTGCCTGGCTTCTATGGCTTGTGGCTGCCTTTGCTTTCTGAATCCTCAGGCAAGCTTTAATAAGGCATAAATAATTGTCACTACACATTCCTGTCCACTGCTTTCTCCTTCCCTTTGTGTCTTTTCCTCTTGACTATCCTGAGCTTCATTAGCACTCTTTTATATGCATCATGTCTAAGTGTCAGAAACAATCGGAGAACTGTCGCCACCCAGCTGATGAGGCCTTGCCCTCAATCTATAGTCTTCCCATGCAACGAGAGCTGACTATAAGGAAAGGTCATCTGTAATAAAGGACTTGACATTTACTGATTGTTTTATTAATCTTCAGAACTCTGAAGAGATTTGAGGACTTGGTGCTTTTTGCTTATACTCAAGTATCTTACCATAGTTCAGTTAGGCTAACTTCAGATATCAACTCCTTATTTCTTTTTCCCTGTGCTGCTACCAGAATCCCAAATCATGGGTCACTTCATAAGACATTCAATCTACTTATTCAACAGATATGTTTTCTACACAACAGGACCTAAAAATGACTTTCACACCTTAAAATCGTGGTAACCCCAGGCTCAGTCTAGTAAGGTTACAGCATCTACAGGAGAAATAATTTCGGTGCTGTGATGTTGCTGGTTCTGGGATACTTCTCACTGGACTGCTAGGGTTCCGCTGGTCTGTTTGCTGAGTGTGACAGTTGAATCTCTGGGCATGCCTGTAAGGGATTTCCCAGATTGGGTTAGCTGAAGTGGGAAGCTCCCCATTCCTCTCCCCCCCATGTAACTACTAAATTAGGGCAGCATCATGGGGTCCTTGACGGAATAAAAGGCAACACTAGCACTCATGTCTCTGCTTCTGTTGAGGATGCATGCACCATGACCAGTACTTACAGCTTCCTGCTGTCACCAACTGTATCCCCTTAAACTGTAAGCCATAACGTGCAAGCACCCTAAAACCCTCCCTTGCTTGAACTGCTTTGGTCAGGTGTTCTGTTACAGCAACGAGAAAGATAACCAGTACCCAGTGTATCTCACTATCACAAACATCGTTCTTCAGGAAGAGTAAATTTGCTTCTATCATGAACTTTTGAAATACCTTGTTCCAATCTTTTTAAGATTTTTATTTATTGCGGGGCGTTGGTAGCACATGCTTTTAATCCCAGCACTTGGGAGGCAGAGGCCGGTGGATCTCTGAGTTCGAGGCCAACCTGGTCTCTAGAGCGAGTGCCAGGATAGGCTCCAAAGCTACACCGAGAAACCCTGTCTCGAAAAACCAAAACCAAACAAACAAACCAAAAAAAAAATCTTTATTTATTATGTATACAACATTCTGCTTCCATGTATATCTGCACACCAGAAGAGGAGACCACATCTTATAACAGCGGGTTGTGAGCCACCAAGTAGTTGCTGGGAATTGAACTCAGGAGCTCTGGAAGAGCAACCAGCCAGTGCTCTTAACCTCTGAGCCATCTCTCCAGCCCCACCTTGTTCCAATCTTAATAACTTTGCTTCACTTTGAAGCAAATGTATGACCTGTGGACACGTACTTAAGATTCTGAAAAGAACTGAAATAGCAACACCAATCTTAGGAATACATTTGTTTCAGTGGTAGAGTGCCTGCCAATATGGGCAAGACCCCATGTTTAATCTTCAGCAAGTTATTCAGTAGCTTTGAATTAGTAATCAATAACCAAATGCATAAGATTGATAGTGTTAAGAATTCAACAACAGGTGAAGTGCTATACCATATCTAATAACCCTTACATATTAATCAAACAAACTAAGTTCATTTGCTTCCTTTTGAAATAAATACTCTATATCATGTAACCTTTGAGTGTTAGATTGAAATCTGAGACAATATGACCATTCCTTTTCAAAAGTATTCTTCAGAGATTAACCAACCATGGCTCCACTCAACATGAGCATTCAGTGAGTACCTACCTCTGCATCAAAAGGAGCACTCACTTCAGAACTAAAGGAAGTAAGACTTTGTTTGCAGAAGACAGTTAGGGGGAAAGAATAAAAACTGGGTTGAGGATGGTATCTGGTCTAAGATAAGTGACATATATGAAGTGAGTAAAATAACAGCTGCTGACATAACAAGGCACACTTCATGTGTTTCATTTCCATCCAGTGCTTTTATTTTAGAAAAAGAAATCACACTGAATCCAGCAAGGTAGAACTACTGATTTCTTATTCTGTGTTATTCTTCCACTTTAAAAAGCAAACTCCACACAATCTGTCTTCATCCAGAATATCACTGGTTATTTCAAGAGAACCTATGGAAAAACAAGATTCACTTAAATCACAGATTTTATAGTCTATCACGGGGATCAGGGAAAAAAGGGAAAGGACAGACAGGAAGCCACCAACACTGTAATAATATACTACAAAACTTCCAATTTTTTGTTATTTCCATTCTTTGACTTGGTGATCCGAGTTAACAAAGATATATACTCTAATTATAACTCGGAAATATTTAATGTTCATAATATTTTAATGAACATACTTATTACTATAAATAAATGCAGGCTTTCTTCCCAAACTTTCTTGATTTTCTCCTGGAGAAATTATTCTAAGTCCCCGAATATCCATATGGAACATAATACTGCCAACATGCTGCACACTGCCATGCATCTCCAATCTCAGCATTGGGTGCTGAGGCAGGATAGCCTGCCAGTTCCAGGTACCTAAGCAACAGCGTGACTGGCCATCCAGGGCTAGACAGAACCCAGAAGATACCACCAACACAGTACTGCAGCCTTTTTTGTTTTTGTTTTTTTTTTTTTTGCTTTTTTCCTTTCCTACAGTTTATAACTTATTATAAGCAGATTATATAGTTAAGTATATTTACTCAGAAATTAAGATACCCAACAGGGGGACCAGAGAGACAGTTGCATGGTTAACAGCACTGTCTGTTTTTCCAGAGGACCCAGGTTCAATTCCCAGCATCCAAGTGGCAGCTCACAAGGATCTGTAACTCCAGTTCCAATGGCTCCCACACTCTCACACAGACATACATGAAGGCAAAACACCAATGTACATAAAAT